GGATTTATCCAGTATTTGTAGAGTTATTTCCCTTGACGTAGTAAAATCTGTTTCATTATGTTGTTATTTGTTCCTTGAGTGCTTGAGTTAGAATCAACGAACTTTACAGGAATAATGATCAACATCACTAAATTACAGGAATAATGATTCACATCACTGTGAAGCTATGCACCTGGGACTTTGCATGTGGATTTTTTTCAGTTTTGATAGAGTTATTGCCCTTGACTTACAGTAGTATAAATTTTCAATTTTCAACTTGTTCATGCATAGCTCAAAAAGTATTTCACTTGTAGGCCTGAAAGTTTACAAGAATGTTGGTCAGCATGTGTACTTATGCAGCTTGGGGTTTGCTTGTGGATTTATTCAGTATTTGTAAAGTTCTTGGCCTTTATAGTTTTCAAAAAATATTTGACCTAGAGTCATAAGATTGACAGAACAGTGGCGCGGTGGGGGCACCCGTGTCCTATGGACACATTTCTAGTTTTCATATATGTAAAAATTGTTTGAAAACCTTTTTTATCGTTGTAATAGATGTCCCATTCGTGTTTAAATTGATAGAGTGTTTACAGGGGCGTATCACGTTGGGGGGGGGGGGGGGGGGGAGGAGGGCAGGATCTGACCCCCAAGCGTCTGTGTTCTTACATGGTTCAAGTCTTATCTCTGATGATCAGCAGCTGGTGGATGTGGCTGGTACTTAATTATTCTACAACTGCTACGAGTACCTATGGTGTTCCCCTGATGTTCATTTTAGGTCCTATTTTATGTATTATACAGTTGAGTTCACACTTAAGGTTACACAAAGTGCACTAGATGTGCACTACTAGTGCACTTCAAAGTGCACTAGTAGCGCACTTCACCTATTATATGTATCAAGCAGTTAGTTACCTTTTATTTCAATGAATAGCAAATTGACTTTTACAAAAAGATAGATAAATATAGATATCTGTATAATAGTTTTTCATAATAAATTTGAATTTGTGAATATTGGATTTTGTAAAATATGGCTTAAAATATTAGAACAATAATTTTTCAAAGTCATTAATTTTACTAATTTTGTACTTTAAAACTTAATTGCTGGAATAAGTAAATATAAACAATTATAACTTTAATTGATATTTAATATGATTCTATTTTATTATAATCTGGTAATGAAATATGAAACATTGAAATGCTAATTAAACAAAATTCAGTCAATTTTTTTTTTTCGGGAAAGGGGTTTTTTGGGGGGGAAGAGGGGCATATTATACCAATTAGTTATTTTTGATCTTAATTTATGGTTGTTTTAGTTAAAGGTAATGATTTTAAGCATTAATAGCCTTTAATATATTGTAACGACGTTGGTAGAACGTCATAATGAGCATGATAATATGCAAATACTTAAGTTGTTGAATTAACAGAAGGGAATAGTTCCCGTATATAAGGACACAAACCACTCTCGGTGGTGAGCTAGCTTTTCTGAGCTAGCTTTTCACCGACAGGGTTTGTGTGCCTTAAAACGTTACAATATTAAAGAATTAATTTGTTTAGAATTGGCCTAAATTTTGCCAATTTTATCTCATTTATAATCTTTCTTACCTTCTCAAACTGAGAATTACCTAAGATTAATATAAATGATATATAGTATTCTTAAAATAAATATTTATATATAATGGTGGTATGTATGAAATGTGGATTAAGTATTGATATGTGTGGATGAAGTATTGATATGTACCTGTGGGACACCTGTGGGACACTAGTATACTTTAACTGACATGGATATTAACAAAAAGATTAGAAAATCTTTCAATTCCATTTTTGAGAAGACACCAATATTTTTTCTTTTTTTCATGCATTGTAACATAATTATGCTACATGATTATTTTTATAAGTTTTTTGTACTACTTGTAATGAAATTATTTGCACCAACATCCAGAGAATACAGAATTCCCTACATTGCCTACTTATATTTATCATCTGCCTTTTGTTATTTACCCTGAGGGGCTCTCTTATCAGCAGGGTACTATTATTAAAACACCAATACACAGCATGACTTTTGACACTTTAATCTTTGCTAAATGATGAAAGAAAGAAATTTTTGAAACCCTATAATTACAGACGTGCAAATACATTCAAACTAGAACAACTAATTAATACAGAAAACGAGAGCGAATATTTGAAATTATGTAAATTTGTTAAAACAATAATTTTAAGATAATTAAATTAGTATTCACCTCTTATGTGATTACTTACATTCCAAGAATTACTTACATTCCAAGACTATGACACGAATATTTCACAGATTAATCTTTTATTACCCATAGTAAAGTGTTTGTTTATTATAATATTTGTCTAAATAGTTAGTATGTCACTTTTTTCATTTAGCTTTTAAGTATGAGTCTAGAAATGTCATTGTAAAGGTTTAAAATATCATGTCGTACATAATTGTTCATCACTTGTCAGTTGTTTATATTATTATTTCTTTTTCCTTTTTCTTTTTTTGTAACTATTCTCATCGTTTGTCGATAAATAAAAAGAAAGGTAATATATAAAACGAAATTATACCCTTAGAGAGTGTACGTCTAAGTTACGTACGTGACTCTCCACGGTTTTTTGTGATAACATATTTACTAAGAAATTTAACAATTTGTGGTTTTGATACATTGTCAATTGAACGTACTGCAGTTCAGCAAATGATATGAACAAATACTCTTTTTACGAATTATTTTACCACTCAAATTATATATACATTGTACATATGTTTAAAGAGCCTCTACTAACATTGTATTTATTACTAACCACATTTATTCATGTTAACATGAAATGTGTGTAATAAAGGAAATTTTACTTGACTTGACTTGACCAAAAAAGGTAAGTAACGACACGGATTTATATTACTAATAGTAATATAAATCCGTGGTAACGAGTTGACGGGTTTGCTTATAAAATTAAGTCACTTTGTTGTGAACTTTAGTAAATGTTTTATGTTTAACTTTTCTGCCTTTTGTACAAAATTTACGGACGACAAAATAATAAATTAAGAGTAATCTGCGTACTCCTGTTCTAGTATGTAATATTTCTTGTATTTGTTTATTTACTGGTCTCTAGTATTTGCCGGTCAAATAGACCGGTAGAGACCGGACCGAAAATGATATATCCCTAAAATGAACTGCAGCACATTTCCCCCTGATTTTTGTTTGTTTGAATTCCGTAAGAAAAATGCATCATATTAGAGCTTTTCTGGGTTTACATACCGCTCAGCGCAAGTGTCAGAACGCTCCCCACCCACTTTTACTAATACTATTGAATTTGAAATTTAGGGGAATATAATTTAGCGATGCTTAACCTACATCGATGATCCGGGTCCTTAAAAATACTTCCGGTTATGAATTTACTTGAGAAATTGCCTACGTTTTGTCAGTTTTAATAAGGTCACGAAACCTTTGGTGAGTACAGAAAACAAAAACTGGTTAATCAGGATTGATTAAGTTCAAGGAAATAGTATGCTGCTTTGAATTTCCCGGTCCAACATCCGTTTTCCGGTAAACATGTTAACTTCCGCTTCCTTTCAAATGTAAACAAAAATTTAAACAAGTTTGCTTCTTTAAAAAGAAGCATGCGAGAGGTCTTTTTGCTAGATGCTTTTTGCTGCTGCGGAAGATTTGTTTAATTCGAAAATATTTGGGGATATTTTTGCATAAAAGAGATAACGAATGCTGATAAATTACAATTATCTAACAAAATAGAATTAATTATATAGCTCTATATTGAATATAGAATCTAGTATCATAATCAGATAATGAAAGTTCATTTTTTTAATGTTTCGAATGATTATATGCCGGAGAAATGGACTTTTTTCTTGGCACAATATGGATACTTTTTCTAAAAGGAAACAATTTATGTTATGCCATCAAACTAAATTTAAAATAAATGATATACACATGTATATAAACTGTATATAAAGCTGCATGCCTCCAACCACAATATTTGAGCAAAATCTTGAGTAAAATTTGTGCCATTTGCGCAAAAAAATCTCCGTTACGTTATTTAGTCATACCGGTTCAAAACTTTAAGGAGCAGCAAGCTTTCGGGACACAGTTCACTCGGTCATATAAAAGTGAATAGTGATATTGTACCTGTAAAATTTACTGTTACTATTTATCGGAACATGAAATAGTAAAACGCTATTCAGAAAACAATACAGTAATCGATTTATACTATTTAAAAGATTAAAAAGGAAATGAAACATCCACCTAGCGCTAAGTAACATAAATGTTATTTTCGTTTTTTCTTTGTACCGATTTGTTTACTTCGATGTAAATTTTTCGTTTAAGTTAAGTCGTATTTTGAAACGGAGCATGCGGAAAACAAATGGCAAAAATGGATGCCGCCAGCAATCAATCGGAACATTGTGGAGAGGTCTGATGACCTCTCCAATAAACTACATGTAGACTAGTGTACTGGTTGAATTTTGCTTATTTTTAGACTGTTTTCCACACAGATTTTATCGTCTGTAGTTTAAGATATGACTTAAAATTGTTCAGATGATTGACAATGAAATGATAACTTTGTGAAATTATATTCTAAATCAGGGTTTTACATTTCTTTGAAATTTTAGTAGTCCAGTGGATGCACAGCCTAGAAAAGTAGGGGTCCAGGCCTAATTTTTAGGGGTCCAAAATTATATTCACTGAAAAAGACTATGAAGACCACTCAATTTTGCTCAAAATCATTTATTTACCCTGTAAGAAATATGCATGTATATTTTACTGTTTTCATAAATAGTATATGATTTCAATATCTGTTCAGAAATGAACAAATGCAAGCATTTTCATTTTCTGCTCCCTGTATTAGATTTTAAATGGAATTTTGCGAGCTTCGGGAAGAAAGAGATAAAATCATATCGGATCAGAAACAAAAATATCTATTGTCTAGGATTATTTTTGTGCTTACACTTGAACGCAAGTGGATAACTTATATGCGTACATGTCAAAATTTATGCGTAAAACCCTGCTAAATTATAAGTTATAATCATTTAGCAAACATATTTCTACAAAGATTAACAAAGCAAACAGTATTCTAGGTCTTATTAACAGGTCCTTGAGTTTTAAGATGAATGCACCTTTGTGAAACTGTATACAGCTTTGATTCGTCCTCATGTTGAATTTGCAAATGTTGTGTGGAATCCATATTTAATAAAAGACATATCAAGTCTAGAAAAACTTCACCAAAGAGCAATAAAACTAGTTTCATCATGAAAAGATCTGACATATATTGACCATCTTAAAAAGCTTAAACTGCCGAGTCTAATACATCGCAGATTTAGAGGGGAGATGATTCAGACTTTCAAAATTGTTAAAGGCTTAGAATGCTGTATTTTTGAATTTTTTTTTTAGTTGTTCGGCATCAACAAGGGGACATAATTTAAAACTAGAAATGCAACTTGTTGCTTACATCAGTTTTCACGATATGTAATTAAAACATGGAATAATTTGCCAAAAAATATAGTAGACTCATAAAGTGTTCATGAATTTAAAATTAAGCTAGACCAACACTGGACCGGAAAGGCTCTATATAAAGTTTAAAATGTTATTGAAACATTATGCTGTTAAAATTATACAGCAGTGTGAACAGAAATATGTACAGTATAAGTGTATATGATTAAACATAACAGTGAGGAGACCAATATGAAGTAGTAGTGAAAGTTTGTCAAAAGAAGTGGGGCTTAAAAAAGGTTTGGCCCTTCCATCAGAGCCCAGAATCATCCTACAGGTATCCTACAGGTAAAGGTGTTTTGCGTGTTGATTGGTCACTACCCCCGGGCCCCCCTCGACCACTCTACAACCCTCCTACCTCTCAAAACCATGTAAACTGCAGTATATTTCATTTTAAACATGTTTTAATATTTGGTATATGCTTTTTATTCAATTGCCTTCATTTCCCACAAAAAATAAAAAAATGATACATATATATTTAGTAAAGGTATGCAACTCGCCGCTCATTTTTCAGCACTCATCTTAATATGAACTCCATAACTCCAACATTTTTTCACCAATTTTCAATATCTTGGTACCAAATGGTAGGGAATTGATTACTCTTAAAGGAAATAAGCTGTCATTACAATCATTTCAAGTTACATGTATATGAAGATATATATGTAATCTCAGAGTTACCGCAAGTGACCTGACCGCTGGCTTTTTGTCAAAATTACCCGACTAAACGACAATTTATTCGAAATGAATGAATATTGTTTTGTATTGCGCATATAAATATGATAAAATTATATTATTATCTGTAATAACTGTTGGAGTTATGGATGAGTGCTGAAAAATGAGCAGGGAGTTGCATCACCTTTGCTAAATATAATATGTATCAATTTGTGTTCAGCCCATTACTTTGTTATTTGAAGTTGGATTTTACAACTTTTTCACAGAAATGATCACCATATTGAGACGACGTAACGCGTGCAACATTTGGGTTGCTACCTTAAAGGTCAAGGTCACAGCATGACCTTGCAGCTAAATCGTGTCCAGCCCATAATTTCGTTATTTGAAGTCTGAATTTACAACTATTTCGTAGAAATGATCACCATATTGAGACAATGTGTCGTGTACAACATTTGGGTTGTTTTTACACTTTGAACTAACACTACAAGAGGTATACCTTCCTGTGTCCAAAACCTATTCGGGGAGCATCACCCGGTTCAACCGGCTCTTGTTTATTCAGAAATCCTCTTTTAGCCGCCGAAATTTACTTGTCCACGGACAAGTAAACTGCAGAATTTTACTTGCCCGGTACTTCAATTATTCGACTCTGGCAACTCGGACAATTGATTTTGCTGGCCCTGACTCTGGTTAAAGATTAAGTTTATCTCGATTGCTAGAAAGCAAGTTGTCTCAATGTTCTTTTGGAACAAAACTATCAAAATAAGAAACGTTTTAAAGCGCCATTTTGATTCTTTCATTTAGTTTATGTATCTTGAAATGTAAGTATGATGGTAGATTTTCTGTAATTTCCTTGACAGCGAGTTTTTTTCCTTTCTTGTTATGGTCCGGTAAAAGGACCCTTCCCAGATATTTATACCCCCACCACAAAATGTGGTGGGGGGGGGGCTATAATGGATTCTCTTTGTCGCATCCGTCCGTCCGTCTCCATTTTCGTGTCCGCTCTATAAATCCTATACCAATTGAAGGATTTTCTTCAAACTTGGCTCAAATGTTCACTTCAACAAGGGGATGTGCAGAACCAATGTTTACCATGTGTCAGCTCAAGGTCAAGGTCACAATTGAAGGTCAAATCTCAAACAATCAAATATTAGACAGTATGTGGTGTCCGGTCTGTAAGTCCTACACTAATTGAAAGATTTTCTTCAAACTTGGCTCAAATGTCCACCTCAACAAGGGGATGTGCAGAACCCATGTTGCCCATGTGTCAGCTCAAGGTCAAGGTCACAATTGAAGGTCAAAAATCAAACAGTCAAATATTAGACAGTATGTCGTGTCCGCTCTATAAATCCTATGCCAATGGAAGAATTTTCTTCAAACTTTACTCAAATGTTCACCTCAACAAGGTTATGTGCAGAATCCATGTTACTTTTGTGCCGGCTAAAGGTCAAGGTCACACTTGAAGGTCAAAAATTGACTTAAAAAATGTTCTTAAATTTTAACATGTACTTGAATATTTCTGAAACTAGCACAGATATTTGCTTGAAACTTAAAAGATATATCAAAGGTGTCACTAATAAGATAATATTATGCAGGTCAAGTTTCATAACTCTGTATTGCATTTTAACAAAGTTATGCCCCTTTTTAAGTCTTTAAATTTACATATAATCAATATTAGACAATATGTTGTGTCTGCTCTATAAATTCTATACTAATGGAAGGATTTTCTTCAAACTTTACTCAAATGTTCACCCCAACTGGGCAATGTGCAGAACTCATCTTACCCTTGTGCCGGCTTAAGGTCAAGGCCACACTTGAAGGTCAAAAATTGACTTAGAAAATGTTTAGTACATTGGGAAAATGAAAAGTTATTTGTAACTGTTTCGAACATGATTTAACAGTATATATTTATACTATTACCATCACCAGAGATAATTTCTTTTTATGTATATGTATTTGTGCGACTAAAGTTATTCCCTTAACCACCTTTCCATGTCGTCTTCTGTAAAGGACAATGGTGGGGGTATGAATTGCATTCAGCGATAGTTCTAGTTTTTTTACCGAATTCCAAACCTAAAAATCATATGCTTGTGATACATATTTGTGAGTAATGAATTTGGAATCCTTGATTAAAATTTAGAATGCGCCAATAGAATATATCAATGGGCATAATTAAAATATTAAATAATTACAAAAATACAGACACTGCTGGAGGTAAGTGCCTTTCAAACAACATGAAATGACGAAAACTTGATATTTTAATAAGATTACAATTAAAAAAACATAGGGGCATCTGTGGCCAAGTGGTTAATGTCAAACCACTTCCTTCTTACTACTGTAGATTTGAATCGAACCTAAGTAACTTTTTTCATGTGAGGAAGCTCAGAATTCAGATTATAAACTAATGGAATGTTGGTGGTTCTTTCAGGTGCACACTCATGCCTGAAATAATGCATGGAGGGGCACCTGAGGTGTTACTTCACCAGTAAAGCTGGAAAGGCGCCTTTATAATGACCTGAACTGTGTTGGTGCGTATTTAAGCCCCCTAACAGTTTTACAAAATAGGAATCTGAGGTATTCTTGAAATAGAATCCAAATAAATGTTATCATATTTTGAAAAAAAATCAAAGGTTCTTGGCAGTATACTTCCATGTCTGTGATCTACATGTATATCCTGTTTATGTCTGAGTCTGACTTTGTAATTATGATAATAATGTTTCAATGATATGCATTTAGTTTTTGAAATGTTAATTATAAGTTTCTGTATATGCCAAGCTTATCCTTCTGCTATGAAATGTTATATGTTAACCAACTATAAACTTTATGTTGCTTTCAACATAAGAGACTTTAAAGGTCAAAAATTCATATAGTTATGCAACTTCTTCTGAATACAAGACTGCTATAATTATTTATGTGCCAACTTAAATAGAGTAAGTATGAAGCTTTGAAACCCATACCGGGATTAAAACAAATTTTTGAAATTAAAAAAATATACACAGAAGTTAGAGAAAGACTTTGTGAAGATTAACCAATGTAAGTGTTAGGATGATATAAACTATATGTTTGTTTGTAGGTATATAACAGATGAATCATGTCCTTGGTAGATTTAGGCAAGCGTCTATTGGATGCAGCTAAACGTGGTGAAACAGATGAAGTTCGAACATTGATGTCAAATGGTGCACCTTTCACTACAGATTGGGTAATTTCTTCACAGTAACTGATATATCAATATAGATTATAACAACAAGACATATTTTATCATAGTTTGTAGACTTTACATGTAAGAGTTAAATCGTATACCAATACATAAACAGTCAGTGCATGCCTACTAAACAGTGCTCTTTCACATTTTGGTGATCTGTTTAAATGGGAGCCATCAACACTTCCTTTGTAGAGCCATCGACCAAAACAAAGCTGAACAAGATAAACACAGTTTCTAAAAATATCCAATTTAAAAGAACATGCTTGTTTTTCAAATATCGAAGAATGCTTTGCCACAAACAATATTTTTCTCATCATTTTGGATGCAATATTGATATGAAATACCCCAAAATGACGTTGCTAGAACTTTTACCAATTATCAACTTGTGTGTTTTCTTTGGCAAGGAGACACATCTTGAGTGATTCCTCTACCATTAAGTTAATGTTGACTCACATAATATTGGATGTAACATTGTGTGTACCTCACCTTTGGCTCAGCACTAAAAATATTTCAAAGGGATTGGTTAAAAATAAAATATTTACTTTTGTTTAAATATGATCCAGCCATCGACATGGTGCTGAAGCCATCGGCAATGTGAAAGAGCTCTCGCAAAATTGTGACATTGGCACATGACACCGGCGAACACTGATAAAAGAATGCACACACAAGGACCAAGTTTCAAAATCTTGATCAAAGACACCATTGTTTAAAAATTTAACATTCTACACTTAAGAAAACATTAAAAAAGAACATTAACTTTTTTATATTGTTTGTATGCTATAATGTATATTACGGAAAACATATGTCAGGTGCATAACCTTATCAGTCAGTGAAGCTTGTCCAAAAGATATGATCATTTATGTTGGCAGCAAAACATTTTTCTCCATGATGGTCTCATTTGGATCCATGCATCAAAATAGTATTAGTATTATCACAAAAAACTGACTAGCATACATATTTAGTATCAATCAGTGAATAACTGAATTCAAAATTTATAGGTCACCTTTTGGTTGATAATAACATTTAATGACATAAATGGTGACATGTCCGAGGTCCGTGCCTGAAAAGAGCGGATGGACCCTCATTAAGCCTCTTTAGTCAGTCCATGGATATAATTCGGAATAATTCCACAATATTGAAGTTAATTATATGTTTGTATTGGCTATATCACATTTGCGAGGGCTCTTTCAAATTGTCAATGGCGCCAGCACCGTGTCGATGACTTGATCACATTTAACAAATATAAATATTTTATCTTTAACCAAGCTCTTTGAAATATTTTTTTGTGTTGAGCCAAAGGGTAGGTTGGGATCATGTTTCATGCACGATAAATTGGGCAGACATTTATTTTACGGTAAAGAAATCACTAAAATTGTGTCTCAACGTAACAGAAAACACACAAGTTAATATTTGGTAAAAGTTCTAGCAACATTATTTCGGGGTATTTTGAATCGAAATTACATGCAAACTAATGACGAAAATGTTCTACGTGGCATAGCATTCTTTGATTTTGAAAAACTAGCATATTTTAAAAAAACAGATATTTTTACAAACTGTGTTTACCTGTTTCTGCTTTGTTTTGGTTGATGGCTCTACAACAGAAGTGTCGAGGGCTCTCATTTAAATAGATCCCCAAATTGTTAAAGAGCCACTGTTTACAAATGACTTCTTCTCAGAAACCACAGGGCCAAATTTGATGAAATTTTTCTGTACTAAAATTGTTCAAATGATTCTGCTCAATTGAACATCTTGGTCAGGAGGGCTAAAAGTATTTTGTTTGTTAAAATGAAATCTTTAAAAATCTTCTCTGAAAGTGCATGGCCTAGAGCTTAGATATGTGTGTAGTATCATCTCATGAAACTCATGAAAGATTGTTCAAATTATAGCCCTTGGGTCAAAATTGGCCTAACCCCAGGGGTTCATTGATTTTCCGTATATCATATGTATATAGTAAAAACATAAGAAATCTTATTCTCTGAAAATGCAAGGCCTAGACCACTCTTAAAACTATAATTGTTTGCTATTGCTGGCCGACCCGTCGAAAATGCCCCAACTCTAAACTTAAAAAAAATAGTTTTTTTTATTTCTGCTAAATCAGTCAGGGCACTCGACCAAAAAAAGATCCCCTAGAAAACAAAAATAAAATCAGAGTTAATACAAAAACTTTAAGCATGTAAATGTGATATGATAAAGATTGATCATTCATGAGGGCATTCCATGCACGAAATTAGGGACCTGGGTGTTACTATTTAGGACAAATAGATCAAAACCAACACAAATTTACTATTTAAAATATTTATATAAATATATAGCGACCAACCAGGCAGGGGATTTTCCTTTCATCACACAGTTACCTCATGTGCATGGCAATTAATTAATTATAAAGTATATCAAATTGAGGCGTGGAAACTTTATTAAAAATAATGTGGGTTTAATTAATGAATATTTGTTAAGCATTTATATGGATACTAGTTTACCACGTGATAATTTTAATGTGCTTTGGGGTACATGTTTGTTTTTGTTTATGACTGCTGACACAGATTAATTAAGGCTATAAGTAGCCCCTTGATAAATTATTTCTGATAGCAGCGGGGATTTTGTCATAAAATTGACAGACAAAAACATATATGGAAGCTGTGGTCCTTTCATGTGCATTATTGTTTTGATAGTAGACACAGCATAATTGTCAACCACATCAAAATGATGTGTCACATCCAAGAATTACTTCCCTACCTCAAAGGTCAAAGTCACACCACCATTTTGAATTTTCATGTTATCACAGAGTTAATAGGTACATACAATCGTCTCCGGGCTGTAACTTTGTCATGCATCCAAGTATTTTAGAATAACTTGGCATAAATGTCTACCACATCAAGAGGATTTGTCTCCTTCAAGAATCGCGTCCCTACCTCAAAGGTCAAGGTCACACTACCATTTTGAAGTTCACTTTATCACAATTTGAGTTTATACATGTAGGTATACACATTTGTGTCCCGACTGTAACTTTGTAATGCATCAAAGGATTTTAAAATAATTACAAAAAAATGTATAGGCATAAATGTCAACCACATCAGGACGACATGCCTCGTCCAAGACCCATGTCCCTACCTTCAAGGTCTAGGTTACACTTTTAGTTTGCAGGTACTCATTCTCTCGAGAAGAGTTTGAAGATACACATTCATGTCCGGACTGTAACTTTGTCACGCATGGAAAATAACTTGGCACAAATGTCTACCACATCATGGCGATGTGTCCTGGCTAAGGTTCATGATAGTATGTCTGTCCAAGCGTCCCCACTTACACAACAATCATGTCCAGACTGTAACTTTGTCATGAAATTTGAGGGATTTTGAAATGATTTGGCACAAATGTCTATCAGTTCATGACAACGTTGTGTCATGTCCAAGATTCACGTTCCTTCTTCAAAGGTCACACTTATATTTTGAAGGTTCAGGCTACCACAATATTATTAGAGATTATAAGTACACACATTAGTGTCCGGACTATAACTTTGTCATACATTGAAAAGTTTTAAAATAACTTGGCACAAATGTCTACCACATCAAGATGACGTGTTGTGTGTTAGACCCATGTTCCTACCTCCAAGGTCAAGTAAGGGTGTAACGGTTTACCGCCAACTTAAGATAAAAATATCCGACAACTAGTACACTTAAAAGTCAATAAGGGGCCGCATAATTTACATAGGCCCAGATGTGAAAGGTCAAGCGCAACTAGTTTTGTTTATCACATCGTGTGACACTTTACTTTCTATTTAGTCCTTACACTGTTATTAAGTTTCTACTAAGAATATATACATATGTTTCTCCATCTTTACATCAAAACATATACATGACAATACGTATTGCAATATATTGCAATACGCTTTGGCAAAATGGCAATACATTGCAATATGGTTTTTGCCGTATTGTTACACCCCTAAGGTCAAGGTCACTCTAAAAGTTTATAGGTATTTATGCTCATAAGAAGTGTTTGAAGCTGCATATTAGTTTCCAAACTGTCACATTGTCATGCATTTAAGGATTTCAAAATAACTTGGCATAAATGTCTACCACATCAATATGATGTTTTATATCAAAAACCCTTATCCTATAAATAGCACTTCATTTAGAGGTGTCATCGATAAGGATTTTTGTATCAATATATCGGTAATGAATTATCGGCGATACTGTACAGCGATATATCGATTGCCAGGCTAAATTTTAGCTTTCAAGTCTTTTTTAATGTTTCCTTAGAGGACACTGACAAAGCAGTTATATTTAGACAAATGCAAAAAAGATAAACTATGAAAACAGAACAATTTGTTTCTTTTTTATCATATAGCTATAAATGAAAACTAATGACTAGTAACTATAAAGTTTAAAGCCTTTTCCATTTTACTTTAGTTGTTGTTGTTGCTATAACGTAGTTACCGACCATGCTAAATCCCGTCCTTGCCGTTCCAATTAAGCCGTTTTTAATTGGTAAAATATAGTATTTAGAACCTGAATAAGTATTAAAGTTTAACATTTTGTAATCAAAATTTTTACAAAGAAACACTGACAAATTTTTCTTGGCATTTTCCCTTTAAAAATCTGAACTGAGGGGTCTTGACATCCACTTAGCAGACGTGCGAGATTACAACGAAATTCGGCAGCATTCCTTAGAGACACTGGGAGGTAACTTTGGCATTGATTTCCGTTTTCGTTTTAGAAAAAAAATGTTTCTGGCTTCCATAACTTTATATGTCGCTTTTATTTTGACGTTTTGCGACAGTAAACAGGTCTATCACTTCTATAAAACCTGTTGACTGAAGTCTGTTTAGCTAGAAATATATGTGCATTCGATATCCGATATTTAAAAAATGGAATCGATATCGAATCGGATAACAAAGATCGTTGATACACCGATATCCATTAAATCGATGACACCCCTAACTTCATTTCACGAAAACAAAATTAAGCAATTAGTTACTTTCATTCTCTTTTCTTTTCATAATA